CAAGAAACTTTCTGTGTTGAGCATTAATGCATCAATGTATCAATCTCTAAAAATGTAGGATGAATTGTGCACATCAGCACTGCAACAATTTTTTTGTGATAAATCAGCTTAACGTGGTATTAAAATCAGCTGCTGACTTTGGGCCAGTGCTATTCTCAGCCTACCCAACTTCACAGGCTTGTTCTGGGGAAAATTGGTAGGAGTATCAGGTATGTTCACTGCCTTGAATTAAATATTAAAAGGGCAGGAAAATAATAATAAATAGCAGTAGGCATGCTTTTTATCTGTATTTTCTTTTTTGACTGAAGAACAGGTCTGCTGAAGAGTCTGTTAAAAAAAGTCCACTACCTGGCCCATCCCCTTCTGATTACTGCAAAACATCAAAAAACAAATCAAGCAATTCTGGAGACATTAAGAAGTAAGTAAAATCTGGTTACATAGTCAAAGATAGATTAGTACAATATATGCAGATTTGCATAGTATAAATAGGAGAGAAATTTGTCATAACTGAAACTGAACTTTGTTTGCCTTTTGAAAAAGCACCTTTGGGACACCCATGACCTGGATGACTGAGAATTTCCATAGGCGTTCTGGATATCTGTATAATTAAATTCGAATAAAACTTCATTTGGGATATAGAACCTAATTTACTAGGCTAATCGTGTTCATAAAGCAAAGGACTATTCAATTATGATAGTTTACATTATTAATTACAGTTCAAGTTTGGATATAACATTACACTGTGATTACAAAAACCAGAGGTGTTGGTTTTATTGCAGCTCCTCTGGAAGAGAATAGGAAAGAATTGCTGACAAGCTTGTTTGCGTAACATTAAATCATAGTTTAGGACTGCGGTCATTGATACCTATTATATTTCATCATTTTTACATTACTTATGATAATGAATATGATATTTGAAGGCAACTCAGGAATTGAGTGTGAACTAAAGGTATTTATACCACACATCTACCCAGTACTACTTTTTTTGTTGTGCATTGTTGAGTCAAATCCATGCAATTTTCTTGGCAACATTTCTGGAGGTTTGCCATTGCAATCTTTCTAGGCCTGATAGAGAGTGACTGGCCCAAAGTTACCCACCTGGGTTCTGAGCCTAAGACAGAATTAATAGGCCTCCCCATTTCCAGTTCTATGCCTTAATCACTAGATCAAATTGTGTTTCACTATTAAATTAGCCATTTTATTGATATTAGTTGTTAGCTACCCAGAGATGCTAACATTTTGAGATGTGCAGCCATATATATCTCTAGAAATAAATAAATGCCATAACATCTAAAACAGAGGTCTCCAGCCTTTCCGGCCTCGTGGCCCGGAGGGAAGAAGAGCAGCTTCCAAATTTGCATGCGCAAACGGGCCGCACACACCAGCCTGGGGCTAGCGGCCTGTTTGCGCCCACGTGCATGCACAAATGGGGCTAGCACGAGTGGGGGAGTGCGCCCGCATGCGTGCATGCACTGGCCAGCCATTTCTGTCGCCCGCTAGCCAAGAGCCACGGCCCGGTAGTGAGCCACGGCCCATAGGTTGGGGACCCCTAATCTAAAACACTTAGAAGTGTATCATTGTTCACATGCTAGTGAAATGTGCTTCTTAGCAACTTGTACTAAGCCATCACTATCTTCTAATAAGAAAGGGGTCGAGCATTTCCTCTTTGGCAGCTCTATCTGAATTAGATAATTGATTTCAGATGTTTTTAATCGGAGTTTGTTCCTTTTTTTTTCTTAGCTGCCATAGGAAAACAAGATATAAATTAAACAAATAATAATTAAAGTTGAGCTTTTATACCCTGTGAAACAGTATTGTGCTAGAACCTGTTTATAAACATTGCAACTATATGCTTTGCTTGATAAGGTCTGAATTAGGGCTACTGAAGGATGAGAAGCAGAATGTTTAGAGTAACCTTAGGACAACAGGTTCTTATTTACTTAAGAGATGTAGCCCTACTCCAATCCATAATATGCTTTCTAGGGCTCTAGATACCAGCACCTTAAACTTACATTGGAAACATCTTTATTCCTTTTGTCATATTTATTCCGTTTCTATCCTTCCATTCAAGAATGATCCTTAGCTAACAATAAAAAAAAACCAAAAATCATGTTTGAACAATTATAGAAATAAAATAAAATAAAAATAAGTCTAAATTGTATCTGAATAATGTTTTGGGGAGTAGAGTAGGAATAAGTCACAGTTCCAAAATGTATGTACAGAAATTCAGCACTAGCCCAATGAAAAGAAGTAGAGTCTTAGGGTTATTTTATTATATCCACTCTTCTGAGAAATTAAGTAAGTAAGTTATATTTAAAGGTAAATATAGTATATAGTGTTCTTTACAAGCTATAAAAGCTTGCTTTATCTTTTTCTTTTGTGCTGTTTTAAAGGTATTTATCTCCAAAGTCTTGTGGTTTCTTTTCTCCAAAGTTGCTATTTGGAAAATTAAAAGAAGAAAACATTGATTCTCTTTCTGAGGTAGGCATATGTATTACCATTTCTATATAATACTATAACTATTACTGTACTATACAATACAATACAATACAATACAATACAATACAATACAATACACAAATTGCATGATGGTTATTTTGACCTTTGTTTTTTTCCAGGAAAGTATTAGAGCTGAAACTCGCTTTACATTGGAAGATGAAGAAATAAGAAATGATATAACCGTACTATCTTCAGAGACAACTGGAGAAGGAAAAATGATTAAAGATTCCCCTTTAGAATCAACGGGTTCTCATTTAAATATATGTACTACATCTGAGTTCAACAGTCATGGCCCTGAATTGTCATCTTTTTCCAGGAGTCACTTAAATGAACCAATAGAGGAACATATTACCAATAGAGAAGATCATGAAACTGATTTTTTCTCAATGAGTAGTAGTTCTAATAACAATGACTTTGGAAATAAAAAATTTACAGAAAGTACATGCTTGCTGAAACTTCAGACAAATGACAGCACTGAAGAAATCCTTATTTCTTTGACATCTAGCAACCAACAGGACAGCAAAGATATAACCTGTGAGGAAACAAAGATGATGGGAAACTATTCAATTGAAAATAAAAACCAGAGTTGCTCATTGATCACTAAAGAGATTCCAAAGAGAAAATCTCAATCTCTCTCTGAATGGACAGTGGATTCATCTTTGAATGACAAAAGAAGAAGAACTTTTGTACAAACTGAAGAGAAAGAGATGAATGATATGCAAAAGCAAATATATTTGGAGGAGGAGCTTTATAAACGATATAAACAGGAAGAAGAAGATAGGTGTCTGGCTTTGAAAATTCAGAAGGAAATGGACAGAGAAGAGAAAACACTAAATCGCAAAAAAGGCTCTCCTGATGAGTATCATTTGCGCCCTACAACATCTAAGACAGTTGGAAAATCCCCAGCTGTTAGGAAACACTGCAATCTCTTAAAGGCTTCAAACAGCCAGACAGAAATAAATCAACCCAAACCACACAGACATTCCCACAGTGAGAATGAGAGGCCCTCTAGCAAACACCAGACAAAAACATCTGTAAAAAATGGGAATGTTCAGAATTGTGTCCTCAACTCTGATTTAAAGGATGTAGAATTGGTGCCAATCAAAGGACGATTATCCAGATGTTCAAGAAATCTGCAACAAATTGAAACATTCACCAAAACCATGATAGATTAATAGAAAATTTTGGAAAACCTGCAAATATTTATCTCTTCTGGTATTGGCTGTTCCCAGAATTAATGTGTTATTTGTTTCAGAAACAGTAGCACCTGTTCTGTGCCTTTTCCTTTGAATTCTTGTGTCTGTTCTTTAATACATAGATGGTATCAATTTTAATGTTAAGAGAAAAAATTTAAAACCATCACATAATATTGTTTCTCACTATTAACAGTATGTGATCAGAACAGCCACCATTTTTCTCCTGATTGCCTTTCCCTAAAATAAGTAAATAAAAAATAAAAATTATTTCAAGTTGAACTGAATGATAATACTTGCTGAGTTGTCATAACCATGCCTGTGTTGTTGTCTGTGAACTTGTCTGTGAACTTACAAGGCAGTGGTAAATGCCATCTTTAAGACAGACATAGCCTAAGATACACTCTCATTTTTCTGTTTGCTGGAATTGTTATTTTTGCTTTGCTAGTAATGTGGCTTACAGATTTCACCAGAAAACCAAATCAATTTTCAGTGGATTCATTTTGGAATTTTAAATTTGATAATTGTAAAATTATCTTATAAGAGGCACCAAAGACAGTCAATAGGTAAATCACATTTTTCATTTGTAAGTAATTTCTAATGCATAGTTTATATATAATGTCATTAAAATTATGTAATTACTATTTCATTACAATTATTTAAGATGTTGTAACTCATAATTATCTCCTAAACATAGTTCTAATAAATATCCAACAAGAGTTCCCATTCTGATAAGGGAGGAATTTAGGATTTGATGATTACAGCCTATATATATATATTTAATTGCTTTCCATGTTTTTGGAAACTTTGATATCTCAGCATTCAAAACACTTAGAAAGGGTAACAGCAAAAAATGATGCAGGCTGAAGTACTGATGTTTACTGTTGCAATCAATTGTGCCTTCCTTTAGAGATCTCCATCCCATTTGTTTTTTGTTCAGCTTTATAAAAATGGTAATTTTTGTTGTAGCTGGGTTCAACAAATCATTCAGAAAATGATATATAATCTGAAGGATTTACGTGAAAGTGACAGTACAATAAATAAATAAAGTAATTATTTTTCAAATATTACATTTAGTATTCTTATCTATCCTTTTGGGTTTTCATTTTTTGAATTGTTCTCTATTGCCATTATTGCATTCTGAAGAAAAAATGGATTGTCATTAGGTGCTTGGGTTGATTTTCAAGCA